AAATCTACTAGAAATGTTTTCATTCAATATTTTCTTCCATCTGTATTTTGCTTAGCATTTTTAATACAATCCCGTTTCAGTGGCATTCTTTCAGAAAGCTTGCTCTTATCAAATCTAAATTGCGATTAACTATGACTGAAAAACGCTTTACTAACTTTACGATGATTTCAATTGAAAACAACCTTGCTAAGACTTTATCGTACAAAAATGTTACCTCTAGTTTCGCAAACTGAAATTAGTGTGATTTGACTAATCTTCATAATTAACATTTTTTTGATGAAATATTTAATTCCATTCATTTTATTTTGTATTTGTGTTTTCGATTTATCATATATAAACAAGTTCAAATACCGAGTGTTGCTAATTTTAACGATGCTTAACAAAAAAATAAATATTGTTTTCATTAAATTGTAATGTGATAGTAGACATAAAGACAATAAACAGCGTTTTCTGTTTGAGATAATAGTTATATAATATTGCATTTTTTTATGAGTTTAAATACAATCCCAAAGTTTTCTCCTATTTTCAACCTCAATTTCAAGACAACAAGCTGGATTAAACAGCAAGACTAGTTAAATTAAACATTCCAAAAATACCAATGCTACAGTTTTACTTCAAACAAGTCAATCTGTAACCTAGTCTACGCTTTGTTGTTTCTCTATAAAGGTGAAAAAAATTTGCGTTCTTTTTGATCTCTTGGAAAACTTCAAGGATTTGAAAAGGTTCGCATCAAAAATATTGTTGTTCAAAAAGTGTCTGATATTGATTCCCATAAGCAAGGGAATAAGGTTGTTAAAATTTGGTCCGTTTGTGTATCAAGATCACTTTTATATATTTGTTAATCACTGTGAGAAAAAAACTTAAAAATCTAATTGATTTTTTTTTTTAATTTTTTTAAGACTCTCAGATATCTTGCAACTCTTTGGAATTATTGATATTGATCTCTATGTCATCAAATTCTATAGAAAAAAATACAACATAATAAATACTCATATTATGTCTACTTATATTCTATTAATGAAAACAATCTGACAGTTAAAACTTCTAAATAACTTTGAAAACCTTTTTTGAATAGATTAGTATATTTAGTGTTATTAATTAGAACATTCCATGGCCAACGACACGGGTTTTGAAATACAGGGACACAATTGTCTATTTCTAAAAAAAGTTCTCTATATCTAGAATTTTCTAAACAAAATAAAAAAAAAGTCCCTTAGAAAAAAAAGTGGGGGAGCCAGAGCTTGGCCCACCTCCCCCAATTGCTATAAGAACGCTCTTTTTTAACTTTACAATTTTCCAAAAACTCATTATTTTTTCTTTTTAAGTTGTTTATCATCTACTTTTCTTTGAATTTCTTCAAATCGTAAATTTCGTCAATACCTTCAGAGGTCGGATACTGGGCAACTCTATTCCCCTTATGGCAAGGTGCTCAATCATGCATAAAAATCAAGTCTCCAACGCCTTGCAATCTTATCTTTACAGCCCACTCCTTCAACTGTGGAACAAAATGCTTCTTCAACACAGTCTTATACTGGTCCTGCCTCATTGTACCCTCTACAACTTACCCGTGCCAAAAAAGCTTATCACACTCCATATCATAACCTGCGTTGGGTTCTTAACATGCTGAACAATATAGTCTTCTCTTATTTTCTCTCAAACTTGTTGTCTTATATACTGCACTCGCTGCTCAGAACATTGAATAATACACTTATTACTTAAAACAACTCTTTCCTAATCTTCCTTAGTCCAGGAGCGAAAGTGTTTCGCCCAGTTATAACATTTAGTATTCATGTCAGGAGTCATGAACACTAAATTTTATAACTGTTTGACATAGGGTTTAAAGCTTGTTGTCAATGGACAACAAGCTTTAAACCCTATATCAAACAATCTTCTTCTAAATGTTCTGTCACTCATAGAAACACTGTGGTTCTCCATAATACCATGCATCAGTTTACTTATTGCTTTTCTATATTTTTACACTCTCGTACCAGAAACATATCTTCTCTTCTGCTAGTTATTTTTTTGCAACCACATTTTGAGTTGGTCATGATGAAAAACTCAATCCCAAACTCAGCTTCTTTCGAAGTCTGCAAACAGACGTTTCACTAACTCAAGCTTTACTAGCAATACTCTTCCTTTGAAGTTTTTGTTTTATAAGAATTTAAACTTTAGCCCTATTACTTGGAGTAAGATCATTCTTGTTTACCATTATAACTAATTCAATAAAAACAAAATCGCGCTCGTGTCTTGATTTATCAACAAACTTTGTTTATCTTTAGTTGTGACGTCATATAAACAGACCAAATCAAAGATTATTTAATATGCTTTTTGCGGTTTATTTTTAATTTATTGACTTATGTGCAAAACACAGTGACTATATGCAATTACGATTTATTTGGCTAACACTGTTATAGAAATGTACTAACAAAGATCTGATGACAAAAACTATTTGTAATGTGGCATAGTTCATCTATGTCCTAACAGTCTTCCAGTTATGTTTTCTATAGATTCCTTATTATACAACTAATAGATTTTTTAATGCACAACTAATAGAAGATAATAAGGAGGTATCATTTAATCAGTGGCAGAGTACAGATTGTACAACGCTGATCAAAAAATAATTTAAAAAATAGAAATTTATACACGGCATATATAATTCATAAAAGTTCAGTTGTAGGTGACGTTGCAAAAAACTAAAAGTAAAATTTTTTAATAGTTTGAAATTATAGTTTCAAATCAATGTTCAATTCAAAGTTCTCAGAGCAAAAGTTTATATACAAAATATATATAAAATATATATATATATATAAAAATATATATACAAAATATATATATATATATATATAAAAGTTTATATACAAAAGTTTATATAGTTTATAAGTTTATATAAGTATATACATTACATCTAGTTGCTCTCAATCAGTTAAACCAAAATGAAAACAAAATTTTACTTTATGTCAGAAAACAACAAAAATAACATCTGCTTTGGATATGAAGTTCAGACAGAAATAGTATGGTATTTAAAAGAAAATATCCTATTTTTCATTGAAAATTCTTTATTTTTTCAGATGGTTTATAATATATCTTTAAAAATAATTTTGACATTGATGCAGAGTGAAACCATTTTGCTACATATAATGGTATTGGTGGCGTCGAAAAACGAAAAATGCCCAAAAATGACAAACAACTTATAATAAAATGTTTGTCTTGTAAATAAACATTATTAATGAGATTTTCAGCCTTTTTTAGATTTAATCTTGAAAAATATAAGAAATTAAAAACAGATAGAAGTGTGCACCACTTTAAAAACACGTTTTCATCTAAGTAGTTAACTCCTAGAACTCCGAGTTACAATTAACTTAATTAAGAGTTAACTCAAAATCTGTACCAATAGTTTTATAAACCAGTAAATATGTAACAGAAATTTTTTATTTTTTCACTCATAGAACTTATTCTAATCAACAAATTAATATTAATAAAAAAATGCTGTGTAAATATAATACGTTGTCATGATTAATGATATTGTATATAGACAAGACGTTATGATAAGTTTATATACACTCACACAGCCTTCTAGGAAAATTTTCTTATTGTTTAAAGCAGAAAAGTGTTAATTCCGATAACCAACATAGTTTGTATCATTAAAGCTCCTGTAACAACAACTGCAAGGATGTACAGTTTGACTGTTAACGCGTCTAAGCAACATAAACATAACATAAACTTAAAACTTAATTTCTGTATTTGTTTTGTAAATATTTATCTTAGTATTTATCACTTTATACAACAATAATTCAGTTAATAAAGTATATTGAAGAAAATAAGTTTAAATATATGCTTTAGATTGGAAACTGTGGTTTATATGTACATTTGCAGATAATGATCCTTATGTTTTATGAAAGATTATAAAGCCTAGAATGATATGAATCATTCTTTTTTGATATTATCATAACCAATTAAACTATCAGAGTTTAGAGTAGAACTAAAAAATTTTAATAAATTTTTGAATCATAATGCTGTTAGTATCTTACAGAAACATTAGCAATCCTAAAATAAAATGAATTTAACTTGTTACATATGAACATTTGATTTATTAGTTTCGGTTTTTATGTAATGATATTTTAATGATATTCAATAAATGAATATTTTGATATTTTATTCATCATATATTCATAACTTTATATAAATGATAATAAATGTATCACTTTAGGAATGAATTGCTAACTTTAGTTCGTATTTTATTATATCTTGTCCTATATATATGCGTATATATATATATATATATATATATATATATATATATATATATATATATATATATATATATATATATTTATATATATATATATATATATATATATATATATATATATATATATATATATATATATATATATATATATATATATATATATATATATATATATTTAGTTGTGTTTACCACTATAAAAATCCATTTGAACTATCATGAAATCCTATACATTTCTTATGGAGGTGTGGTGTCCGTGCGTTGTCGTGTAAAAGTCTTAAAGATGTTCCCAAAGTGAGAGATCCACCAATGTTTATAGCGAAATATTTTTGCAGTGTGCTTCTTATTCTGAATGAAATACTTTTTTAACTTAAATAATTTTATACTATGTGAAAATAATCGGTGTTATTATTCATTTATTTATTTATTATTCGTTTTGCAAAGAAAATGTCTATACTGTTCCATTGATACTGTTCCATTGATACTGTTCCTTTTTCGGAACTACGTCTAGTCTTTTTTTATATACCACAAAGTGCCTCATTTAACATAAATAAAAAATCTTTTATCGAAAGTTATCATAACTTTTATGTAAGTTTAATATTTTAGTTATGGATTCTCAAAATTTAAATTATGTATTTAATTTAATATAAATTATTATTTATAATATTAGTATGTTTCTTTCAATTCCGTTAATATTATTTTCTGATTTTGAAATTTAAAGCATAACAAACTGAAAAAAATAATAAAACATAACCTCTTTTTGTAAGTCGATCTCCAGTTTTTCTCGTATATTTTTAAGGACTTCATAATCCTTTTGTTGAGTTATACAGGACATAGTCTTCTTTAAAAATTGGATTCAATTCCTAGTATGTAAAAACGTGTTTGTCAAGTACTTTCAATTAATTTTATCTTTATCTCCATCATTATTCTCCGATAACATTAGAATATTAAATGAGTGAGATAAAACCACTTTAAACAATGAGCTTTTAATTATCTTTTAATAAACTATTTGATATCTTTCTTATTTACTGATCAAAGGATCAAACTAGTTTCAAACGGTACTTCCTCTCAAGTTACATGTGACAATACGCATGCGCCAAACACGCGTATTGAAGCGTAATAAATATTTCACGCTAGGCCTGTTAAACCACTTTCACGTTGTTCAAAATCAATCATGTCTAATTGCCATGAAATAGCGCGATATAAACGGCGACTATAAAATATATACAGATTAAGCTTACTGCGTATTTATTTCAATTAAACCCGAGTTTATGTTTAACTTGTCAATTTGTATCTGAAGTAAAACGCAAGCAACTAGATAGCTGACTACGTTGTAACAAGTAAATAAGCGTTGGAGGTAAATAAAGGGCTTATATGTAATGCGTCTAAACAAGATTTCAAAGTTAGTTTGTCGTTTAAAAAAATGCTCAAAGTTTAAAAATTAAGTTTAAGTAAAAGTTAAGAGCATTTAATAAAACAACATTATTTTTAATTCTTAAAAAATATATAAATACACGTGTATATGTAAGTAAATAAATATATGCAAGAATATAAATATATAACAACAAAAGGTTATTAGTATTAAAGTCACAAGATATATACACTAATGACTAATAAATATCCTTTAACGAATAAACAGCTATAAAAATTGGAAAAGGAAAAGGAAACGATTAAATCGTAAACAAAGCAAATATTAAATTAGATATGACAAAGCATACATACCTTTATCCGAATACAATGAAACTATCGTGTACGTTTTTGGCTAAGCCACATTTGGAATACGCATTTCAAGTATGGAATCCCTATTTCTCAATTAAAATAAGTTTATTAGAAAAAGTACAGCGTAAAGCATCCAAAATATGCTCATAAAAAAAACGATTATAGCGAACACTTTCAAATGCTTAATAAAGTTTGTCAACAACAACAACAAAAAAAGAATTTAAATGTACAAGTTTATCAACAAAATAGACAAAAATGGCAGTGCTCACAAAAAACAATAATTTGTTTAAACAAGAAGCCACAAACAAAAAATTCAACTACATTAGGTTGCCAATTCAGGCAATCTAATGTAAAGGTTATTCTTTAATCTAATCTGGTCATTGGACCAAATTAGGTTAAACATTGGACCAGATTATTTTACTATAGATAAGTTAAAGATGAAAAATAAGCTAAAAAGTCAAGTTTAGTCTAGTTTTTAAAATTTCGAAAATGCAACATTTGTTTAAAAAGAAAAAGTTACAAGTTACAGATAAACATTTTAAATACTGGAACCTTTACTGTTTAAAAACCATCATCTTTACTTTATTTTAAATGGTCTTGACGTAGTTTTGCGCACTTTTAGATGGAATTAAAACATGTTGGGTGCAGTTTAATATACTCAGGACTGTAAGTTAAGTCTACTGCAGCTGAACGAAAAGCTGAGCACGTAACCATGATGTTAAAAATTTGAAAGATATATTTTACGCAAAACCTTATACTTGCATATTATAACACAAAATAATGTCAGATCAAATATCAAGCCGCCCCCGTCCCCCTCCCCGCCGCAACCCCCACTTCCCTCCTTCACAGATCGAATATCAAGCATAAACTATTGCGTTTCAAAATTTGAGCAATACCATTATTACTAAATTCAAAATTAATTTCCAACGTTGTAAACGTTGTTCAACTGCTCAAACTCAAATTAAATTAGTAAGTGAAGCAAACTTATAAGTCTTATAGAGGAATGGAAATAAAACACATTTTATTAGGCCAAATGTGAGTGCGTTTACAAGATTAGATTTTGAAAAACAATATTTTAATAATAATAAACGAGTTTAAATGAATATATATATTATATATATATATATATATATATATATATATATATATATATATATATATATATATATTCATTTTTCAATTTATTTTTTTATACACATATATTATTTTAATATATATATATATATATATATATATATATATATATATATATATATATATATATATATATATATATATATACAATGAATATATGTGTGTGTGTTTATACATATATATATTATATATATATATATATATATATATATATATATATATATATATATATATATAAACACACACACACACACACACACACACACACACACACACACACACACACACACACACACACACACACATATATATATATATATATATATATATATATATATATATATATATATATATATATATATATATATATATATATATATATATATATATATATATATATATATATATATATATATATATATATATATATATATATATATATATATATAGTGTGCTATATGAATCAAGATCTTTTCACGATGGCTATAAATAAGGCTAAAAAAACTTTAGCCTTATTTATAGCCATATTTCATACGCTAATATTGTATGGGCTTTCACTTAACAAAATTAATAAAATTACAAAGCATTTACCAAGCCATGCATGTAAAATAATAAATTATTTAAATAAATTAGATAATGCTACTTATGTAATAAAAATAATGAAAGTCCTAGGTAAATTAAACTCTTTGCAGATCCTAATATTTATGCATAAGTATAAAAACAAGATACTATGAAACGTTTTTTCCGATATTTTGTTTAAATTTTCTCAAAAGTATAATCTTCAGCCAAATACCAAGACAATTTATATTCGAAAAAATTCTGAAAGTTAAAATTTTTCTTTCATGACTCTAGGTCCATTATTATGGAATCAATTGAAAAATATTAGTATAAAAGACTTAAATAACATGTCCTCGTTTAAACGACAAACAAAATTGCATCTTTTCAATTCCTGACATACATCATTTAGCGATCTTTCTCGGTTATTTTGAATACTTTTTTTTTTTTTTTTTTCTGATTATTTGCTTTAATTTTTATTTTGCAGTAATAATTTCTTAAATAAGAACTTTAGTGTATTACGGAAACACATTTTTTAACTTAACCAAACTTATGTTTTCCCAATAAGTACGCGAGAATATAGACACAACCGGCTGTGTTTATATTCTTGCCTAATTCTTAATTCAAAACCAAAATCTTGATTCAAATTTTATATAATTACAAGTGTAAAACCTAATTAGAAGTCTAGTTAGAAGAAAGGGATAGAGAAAGCGGATAGATAATTGCACTAGATGCTATTATGTGTAATTCATACTATAAAATAGATTGCCTAACTAATTTATTAGTATTAATGCAGTCATCATTGCTGATGACGTTTGTTCATGAAGACATATTGATATTATTACTTTCTCTTCCTCTCCACAATCAACGAGTAGCGATTGGTTAGTACACTAGAAAGACAATAATAATAGCGGTTTTCGCATAAATTTTTTTAAAATTTAAAATACAAAAAAACTTTTAGTTACATATTATCATACACAACGTAATACTGATTTTTTAAACTCGTGATTTTCTATGTTTGCTTGTTGTTGTTTTTTTTAAATAGGAAAAGAAATTATGTTTATAAGAGGTAGAGAACGAGAGATAGTCAAACAGTTAGTTGCTTCTTTTTTTGTTGAGTGTTTCAAGTTTATTGAGATTCTTAGTGCGACTAATTTTTGTGTGTGTGTTTGCGTGTGTCAACATGCAAAAGATTTGATGTAAAGCTGCTGAGTCGATTGTAAGTTTTAAACTTTTATTGGAATAGCTGTAGTTATTGCAATATTGAAGTTTGGTTGCAGGCTAGTTGACTTTAGAGTTGACTTTGTAGGTGATGCAAAGTATCCTTATGTAAGATGCAGTTAGTGTAGATTTAAAAGCATGTAAGATGCAGTTAGTGTAGATATGTAAGATGCAGTTATGTAAGATGCAGTTAGTGTAGATTTAAAAGGAAGAGGCTGGTGAAGTTACTGATGCCTGTGGCAGTAAGTTAGAAGACCCACCCCCAAATCCTGTCATTGTGGCCCAAAATCCTTAAATAATTTTCTTCTAGGTATTACTAAAACAAAAAAAACTCCTTAAAATTTGTTGATTGAGATAATTAAGAGTCAGTCTAAGATAATGGTGTTTTATACGCTATTTTATACGCTATCCATTTGCAACTTTGACTGATCAATTTTATTGATGGCGAGTAAAAGCAAACCGGTATTTTGAAACCCTACGACTATTTGCGCGCATGTAAAATCTTTACCAGGTTTGAAAGTTTTTGTTTGCAGTTGACTAAAAAATTCTTTTGATAAATTGGTGATTTTAATCTCATAGCAATGTTAAATAGTTTGCCGAATACTGCGCCAAACTCTTTTGACATTGTAATCAACACCATTTTCTTGTGGCTGCAAAATGTGTAACAAATGAGCTGCAAAGAAAATCAACAAAATATTGTTTTCGATGCAAATAACTAAGCTCCTGTTGGTAAAAAATGTAATGTGTTTATCTAGGACTAAAACGCCGTTTTTTTAATATAGCACCTGCAGGATTTTAATGCACACACACACACACACACACATATATATATGTATATATATATATATATATATATATATATATATATATATATATATATATATATATATATATATATATATATATATATATATATATATATATATATACCGTAAAAGCGCCTAAGTTTGGTCACCATGTAACATGGTCATTTAAGAAAAAATATAAACTATTTTTCTCAAATAATTTTTGTAACTAGTTCGTAAATTTTTTTTTTTTTTTTTTGTTCTCTCTATTACATTTTGTTACAATATTTAAAATACAAATAAATAATAATTTAATATAATTATATATACATATATATATATATATATATATATATATATATATATATATATATATATATATATATATATATATATATATATATATATATATATATATATATATATATATAATGATTGTTATTAAATAATAAAAGAACGCGGGGACTCGTAGAAGACCATACGGTCTTGTCGTCGAGTACCGCTAAGAAATGTTCGTGTAAAATTTATAAGATTAAAAATAAGTAACAAAGTAAGAAACAATATTACATATCACAGTTGTTAATATTATATACATATATATTTTTTATAAATTCATG